CCGAGCCCGGTACCAGCTCACCGCTTCTGGGCCGTCGTGGGCCTCGCTGAGGTGGTGCCGTCACCCGCCCTCCCGGCAGCCCCCAGCCCTCTCTCCCCGCCAAGGCCTCCTGACATCTCTTCTGTCTTTTCTGCAGAGGTTTTTCCAGGACACGATTATGAGTGATCAAATCCACTTCATTGTCGAGAAGCTCAATCAGGAGCCCTTCAGGAAGAACTACAATTTAATCAGCTTTGACTCCTTGGAGTCAATGCAGCTGTTGCAGCTGCTCAATGATGTACTGGGGGAGATTGACCCAAAGGTAAGGAAGGCAATCAGAGGTGCTCAGACCTGCATCATTGTGAACATCTTAAATGGGCTTGACACAGAAATTTGCTTTTATTTAGGTCTGGCTATGTATAGTCTTGTGGCATGTTTGATTTGCCAAAATAGCTTGTATGAATCTTTCTGGAAATAAATGTGCCTGGCAAGAATCCTTTCTGTCTGTACATCTATGTGATTTTGGCAAACCAGCACGTGTTTCTTGGGCCAGGGATACTGGATCCCTGTCCTCAGAGACTGATGACTGTATATTTTCCCTTGGAAATCGGGATACAGATCTTAACTTGGTTTATACTGACAACCACTGTGTTGTTCAGTCAAAAGTCAGGCTGTGTCTTGCACTCATACACAGGGCAGGAACTGATCAAGAACTGAATCTCATGACTTAGCTGTTGCGTGAGATATTGAATCTCTCTTCTTTGAAGCCACCAAAAGTGTGTGTAAGATCAGAAGGGATCGTTCATACATCTAGGGTGCACCTTTGTGGAAGTAATCAGTTTGTCTGCATAGATGAGGTCCCATGAGCAGGGAGAATGTGTACCTAAAATAAATTTACCTGAATACATATGTTGAAGAAAAATCCATTAGAAAAGAGTTGAAGTTTGGTGATAAAAAGGATGTTCTGTATGGAGCATCTCACTTCATTGACATATCATGTGATAAATGGATAAAGTAAATTCTTTTAGTGTTAATTAACATGGACAAACAGTGGATAATTAATTTTTTTAAAACTATTTAGCATGCTGTTGACATTAGAGAGGAGCTGCCGGAACAAACAGCTAAAAGAATGTTGAGTCTTCTTGGTATCCTTAAATACAAACCTCCAGGAAGTATATCAGACTTGTAAGTATCTTTTTGTCTACGAATCATGGTAAAACATCTCTTACAGCTTACACAGTAACGACCTTTAATTCAGTAGTTGTGTGTATTTTTTGACCTCGGCTGTCTCAGCGGGTATGTGTACCGCCTTGAAGAGAGCTCCTCCTTTGTCCCCATAGAGTATGGTATGGGGGAAGGAGGCGGAAGGCTCCTGGCGGTGTGGGCAGCCTCTGGGGCCCTGCCGCGGCAGCTGCTATTGCGGAGCCAGCCAGCAGAGGGAGCCGCATGACTGGCAGGGTCAGCCCCTTCCCCGTCCCTTTCGGATCAGCCGCCCGAGGCTGGATTGCACCCTCCTGCACCAGCTTATAACCCAGAAAACCCACACTCTTCTCACATTGCCTTTATTCCCGAAGAATATCGCAGAGAAGGAAGAGTCGTTGTTGCTGGCTTTAGCCTTTTGATGTGTTATGGGGTTTTTATCTATCTCAAAGTAGCAGAATCAGGATCATAAATAGCAAAGTGGTGTCATGAGTTTTTCTCTTTGAACAATGTTAAGGAAATCATTAGACAAGTGGAGAGGGAACGTCAAAATATTGCAAATTGTTTGTTCCAAGCCAATGTTCTTTAGTTTGAGATTTGTTGTTTTCATACAGGAGCGCATTTCGCCAAGGATTAGTTACAGGAAGCAAACCTGTGATTCATCCTGTCTTACATTGGCTTCTTCAGAGGACCAATGAACTCAAGAAAAGAGCTTACCTGGCACGTTTCTTAGTAAAATTGGAAGTGCCAGCGGAGTTTTTACAGGATGATACTGTGGCTGACGTCAACAAACAGGTACCATTTTTCATGAATGCCGACATTTTAACGTTAATTAATTAAAGAGCCAATAGGAGGAGGAATAAATGAATTGGGGGAGTTACTGTTGAAATACGCATTCAAGTGAGATATGTTGAGAGCATGTTGGAATCAAGGGTGAGCAAAGGTTCATAATAAGAGATATATGTGTTGTCCACGTTTCTTCCAATAACCCTGAAATTGTATATTGATAAGTAGCATTGAATTAAAAGGTTTTAAGCCCATTAAGTGCTGGGTGCTAAATAATAAAATAAGCCATGTTGGCCAAGACAGATTTTTATTTCTTAATTTTTAAACACTTTTTCCTATGAACTATGACATGGATATTTTTAACTTTATAAATTGCCACTTCAAACTAGTCAGAAAATGTTATGACCAAAAGCCAATGTCTCCTAATTGTCAATTGATTGTATAGTATTTAGTGACTGATATTTGTATTAGCCTTATCCTACCTCTGCTTCAACTATTTTTTGGTGAATAAGTAAAAAATTTCTTTTTCCTGGGCTGACATTCTTACTTGTTATGTTCCCACTTCTTTTGTGAGCATTAAATGTTGACTTTAGATAGTCAGACTGGGTGGGTTTGAAATGTAAAGCTTGAAGTGAGCAAAAGTTATGGTTTTAGATCTGTATTATCTGAAGTACATATTTACTTAATTTTTATTCACTTTTTTGTGCCTTTTGTTATGGATAGTGACTTGCAAAATCACAGTGTTTTTGAATGTTTGTAACAGGTAACTCAATTTATTAACTGTGCACCAGCAAAGCTGTATAGTCTAACTGAAGCTTGACTAAGCCTTTTATTTTTTTGTTACTGCTAACAATATTGGATTTATAACTTGGAGTAACTAAGCAGAAGTAGCAAAAAGAGAAAGGAATGCAGATTGTATGTTTTTTCAGTATGTCACAGAGTTAATATGTATAAATATCCAACTGCATTACTTCCATTACGTAAGATGTGTTCCTTTTTGGGATTACAGTAATGTAACCATCTCATTAAACTAATGCCCTGCTGATTAATTCAAAACAGAAGCTAGGGTAATATACTGCCTCACTGTAATTTAACATTACAATGCAAATATTTAGATACTAATGAATTAAAGAATTTAGCCTGCATTGTTTAGATACAGGCTTGCAATACTGTCTTTTAAGAGAAACATTTCAAATATGAGAGTTTGGAAATCTTAGAACATGGTAAAGTTTTATGGGTGTATAGAATCAAGGTCAAGTGTACTTTTGTAAATTATTTAAATAAGATGGTCAGAATACTTGCCACCTTCCCAATTGTGTTGTGATTTAGACATCGGATTGACTGCAGTATATAATTTAAAAAGTAAGCAACTTCAGGCATAAATGTAGTTGTCCAGTCTTCAGTGAGTTGCCCTCAGGTATCAGGAATCTTTCTTTCCGCTACAGGAACCTGGGTGTTCTTCGGTCATTTGTGTGTGTCACTTATTTCGGTTGCACATAGGGTAGCTGCAGCTTTTATTCGGTGAAAGTGAGATGCCTTCCCTTCGTTATGATCTGGCAAACTGTGCTATGCCCTTGTTTGAATCTTGCCATTGGTCTTGAAATTTTGTGTCCCAATAAGGAAAAGACTTACTAAACTCCCCTTTTGAAAGAGGTAGAGAATCCACACAAAGGAAAGCCGTTGGACAGCAGCAATCATGAATACAGTTGCTCAGAGGCTACCTGCTATTTCATTATTTGTTAAAGTACTTAACTTCTATAATGCATAGGTGATATAATGCAGGCCAGTTGTGTTTTTATTCCTACTTTTTTTGTAATTTGTTCTTCATTGTCCAGTGTGTGCATACCTTATCATACCTTTATTTGCCATTTAATCAAGCTCTTTCTGTATTATTTTATCTTCTTCTCAGTAGCCATTTTATTGCTCGTTTTTGGAATTCATACCAGCTTGTCAGTGTGTGCCTGATACTGAAACAATCAGAAATGAACAGAGCATTCTAGATGCTGGTTCCCCAGGGTTCTATAGAATAGAATTGCTGCTGCTTTGCGCGGGGATATGATGCCTTTATTTGAACTGGCCTTTGCTGTTGCCATTTTGTATTCAACATTCATATCAATTGCTCTTTCCAGGAAGTAAAAAATTACTTGGTAGCCTCTTTTTAGATTTTTCCATCTCATTGAATGGCTGTTTCTCTGGAGATTATCTTTCCTTGTATCTCAGCTTGCATTTCTCCAAGTTGAATCTAAATTTATTTCCTATCCATATTTCTAAACTCTTTCTGTCCCCTGTTATTTCTCTACCCACACAGACTTTCACACTGCCTCTCAGTTTAAGACTACTGGTGGGCAATGTATTGGTGTGGAAGTAGCGCACTGACTGCTTCTTTCTAACTACCGAACTACATATATCAATCTCTGTAATATACTGAGGGCATGATTATGCAATGTATCAAAACTATTTCTCACATGTAAAGTCAGGTGTGCTCTTGGACCACTTTGCTGGATTGAAGCTCAGTGCTCTATAAATTGAAGCCCCGTTGCTTTGATCAAGCCCGTTGTTAGATCAAGCTCTTCCTTTTTGGGCTGATAAATTTACGTACGTGATATACACAGATTTATAGTAAGAGAGAATAATTTGTTAATATAGCATTGTCCATCTCAGGTAACATCATATCTTCCTCTTTTGAAAATACAGTATATATTACAAGGGAGGAGGTGAAAACAGTGAAGAAAATGTGCAACTTCTGAGTGTACCTTCAAATGGAAGATAATTCACTGTGATATTTTTATTTTTGCTTTATAAGTTGACAAGCTTTTGTGATGGAAAAACGCCTTTATTTCTTGTTCTCACCGTATTTCTATTTCTATATTTACTGTCTTAGTAGTAAAGCAACATGTTGATTTGAAAAGCCTTAGACACAGATCTCATTCTGCATGGTTTTTATTTCATTTTATAGTATGAAGAACTGATGGAAGCATTTAAAAACCTACATAAGGAATATGAGCAGCTCAAAACATCTGCCTCATCTACTGCAGAAATAAGAAGGGTAAAAAAATCTGACAAAATCGCACAACTTTTGTTCAGTTTTTTTTTTAAATATCAGTTCTATTTTTGTTGGCTTTGTGGACTCATTGCAGTGTATAAATTGTAGAGGTCAGAGCTGGTAGGCACTGCAGCTGCCTTTTTGAAACTGTTCTGTGTTGGCAAACAGATTAGGAAGTCCTTGCTCATGTTTAGAACTGAGCTTTCTGAAGCAGATTGGGAAACAAGGCTGCCAAGACTCTGTTCAGCATGATTTTCAAATATTAGAACTCCCTTTCCTCTGAATGCAAACTGATACAAAGCCTTTTCCTTTACTGATATAGGGTAATAATTTCAGAGGGTGTTGAATGAATTAAGAGCTTAAGTCAACAAAAATGGTGATCCTGTGTGGCTGAGGTGTTAAATAAAGATATTTGCCCTGTTTCAGCAAAATATTTAAGCATGTGTACGGCTTTCCAGTAAGATATATAGACAAGTTAAGCAAATGGTGAGATAAGGTCTAAATTCGATAATTTATTTCCCTTTCTCTCATAACTATCGATCTGTGGAGTCCTGCTGTTGTACAGTAGGCCTAAAGGAGAATAATAATCAGATTCATGTTTTAGCACTAGAAGGTGTTCCTTTTAACACAATTTTAATACAAAAAGTGGCAGCAAACATCACTTGTATGCAACTTCATGCAAAATTGCCTGCCAGGAAGTGGGTAATTATGATAACGTTAAGAACGTATGTTAGACTGCATCAGATGTTGAATTCATGCTGATTTTTTGCTTGGTTGTTTCTGTTGGTTTGTTTTTATTTTGGAGAAATCCACCTGCTTTTATTTCAAACGTTCATGCTAATACTCAGGGATGCAGATGAAGGAATGTTAGCATAAAGAGAGTGGGAACTGTGGGGGAAGTAAGAGAGAAGAGGGAGATTGGAATTCTGGATGTTCTGGTCATGGATCAATAAAATTATAACTGCTTCAGTGTATTCAGAGAAGAATTCTGATTTTCATATTAATTTGAACAGAATGTAGTCCAATCCATATTATACTGTAAATAAATTAACATTGCTTTATCTATTTTTTTCTGCTTTGTAGGACATCGGTGCAATGGAAGGCGAGAAAGATCAACTCATCAAAAGAGTAGACCGTCTTAAGAAGAGGGTAGTAAGAGAAGTAACGCTGTTAAATTTCAGTGTCATAATCCTTGGCTTGAAACTGATTTTGGAATGCAAACAAGGATTAAGATAAACATAGTGTATGTCTACGAAGGAATCGAATAACTAATTGACCTACAGGGAATCTCCCTAGGCGTTAGTCCAGAGCTTTTAAGAATCTTGAGTCCGGTACTTTGCTGTCATTTCTGAGTAGTAACATGTATGGAAAGGAAGTGCTAAGTGGGCTTGTGAGACATATGATCTCTTTAATGTATTTCTCAACTATCTGACAGTAACATGCACTATTTATCCACTTGCTGTAGGTGGAGACAGTACAAAATCATCAACGAATGCTTGAAATAGCAAGACAGCTTCGCTTAGAAAAAGAGAGAGAAGAATCTTTGGCTCAACAGAAACAAGAGCAAAAAAATCAGGTACTGACATAAAAGCATACCTATTAAAATAAATAATTGTTGACGTTTGTTTGGGAACCATGCATTTAAAAGAGTACATCAGGAACAACAGTACAGAGTTTCTCCCAACATCAGAAAATGAAGTCCCATTTAATTTATCTCTGTACATTTTAAGGGAAGAAGCTTGAGCCTGCAAGTTTTGAACACCTCATTCAAGGTACTTGGCTGCCTCAGCTGCCACTGACATCATCATTTAGCAGTCTCAGGAAATGTTCCAGGACTTACTGTTGTAGCACCCAAAGAGAATTCTTCATGTTTATGGTAGTGAGCAAATGTTTCCTTAGTTTGATTTGTATCTCTGTGCATCTGCACTAAGATTTCAAGGGCTGAGTAACACAGCAAGTACCTCAGCTTTTCACTGGATGGGGGAAATATGTATTCAGGAGGAACTTTGGCATTTTGGTCCCCGAGTTTGACAAAAATGATGTCCTGGGAACCACTGGAAGCAGTTGACATCTGAATATAAGGGTGGGTTTTATTCCTGAGCTACGTTGTCAAAACAAGATACTTCAATAAAATCCAGTGCCATATTGCTCTCTCATTTCACCAAATTCTGTAGCATGAACTTCCACACTGTATCAAAAGGGGAAAAAAACCCCAGATTTCTGGTATTGCAGTCTATATCTGGATGTGGAATCAATATGAATCAGTAGGCTTTCAAGCTGTTGGGTCTTTGCTTGGACCTGAGTGAGTCACAAGTAAAATGAATGTGACATCCAGCTAATTCCAGTTTTTAATACACATCTCTCTAAATCACAAAAATGCTAATCAACTGGGTGTTCATTGGCAACAAGCTTTCTGTGTGCTCTCAAGTTGGACAGTGGATTGCTGTGACAACTCAGCTGCATTGCAAGAACTGCAGTATAAGGATAGTTATCTGCTGCAATCCTGATTCTCGCTGCCTTTTTTTTGTTGTTCTAATGTTCAAACCACTCATATTTTGGGTTGAAAATTGTTTAATGAATTTCTGCTATAGAGAAAATATCATTTGGGAGTACAGGAATACTTTCCTCAATTAATACTAGAGAAAATCAAGTAAACCCAGGCCAATTGATGAAAATTTGGTTTTGGCACGTTCCCTTGTGAAACAGATAATCACCAGATGCTTATAGCTACCATTTTTTATATTTGGGATTCTTTTTTGGTACTTTTTTGGTTTAGTTGTTTGAATACGCCTTTCAAAGGAATGAGCTTATGTGTGTCCAATTCTCTCTCAAAAGTTGTTCCATGCAGAGCAGAGGCTGCAAAGAGCACAGCTCCAGCTGAAAGAGATGCACCATGCAGTAGTGGATTCAAAACCTGAAAGTAAGTAGTAATCTATAAAGGCTGGGGATTTACACTTCTCTATTAGAAATGAAATCAAATCTGGTTGGCTATCAGCAATATGGTAGTGCCAAAAAACATACAGTAATTTAAGAGAATCTAAAGAAAGAAATCTCTTATGTTTTAAAGGCACATGCTGGAGATCCTAAGGCTGAATGTGCCTTGCCCCAAAAAGCTGGGGAGACAATCACAAGGGAAAATTATATCGGTTGTATTTTTGAGATCCATTTTTTAAAAAAATCTTAAAACAGATACTGAATACTAACCATAATACTCTGCAAGAAAAAAACAGCTGGAATTACAAAGGGCTGGGAAAAGCAGAAACCTCTTACTAAATCAGAAATCTGTCTTTTCTGAGGTTTTATGCCTTTTGTATTTGTAATTGGACATTGGTGAAATACTGCTCCTTAAAAATCTTCTCAATAAATGTAGAAATACATTGAATTTGGTTTAATGTTTTAATTCTTAATTTTAAAAAATACATGTTTTATTCAGTATAGGCTTGTTTTTCTAGTTACCTTCTATAAAATAATTGTTTGAAAAGCTTTAAGGCCTGTTTCTTATTGCAGTGCAATTTTGTGTTGTAGTTTTGTTTGGTACCAAAAATAAAGCTACTTCCTAATTAAGCTTTTTTAATAGATCATGGATTATGTATACACACACACACACACTCTTACATATGATTATGTTTATAGGTATATATACTAGATATATCTGTACATTGAAACCTATATATTTATATCTTAATATATTTGTTTACATATTAAAATACTTTGTTCTCATTATATGACTGTAGTTGATTGAGTTCTATGTTGCTGTATTACATTAATAATAAGATTGCTTCTCCTCATTTTCAGTGATATCTCAATCTGCAAATAACCTCAGCAAAATAAGTTATACTGCTTGTGACATTAGTACTATATGATCATTTATAAAAGTAGCAGGTGGGAAGGAATTGCAGTTACTAGATAAATGCATAACTAACTGTCTCCAAAGGCTACAATTTGACAATCTCTAGGTTTCTGATGTTGTAATCACTTTGAAGGAAATGTAACAAGGATTAGCCTGGGTTTGACAACAAAACTGGGAGTCAGTTTAGGGTTCAGTGTTTCAGATGTATGTGATCTTTGGCAAATCACTTAACCCCTTTCAGTTTGTCTCTTGCACTTGGTTATTAATAACACATCACAGGATTGATAGAGGTTTTATGTGGTGTTCATACAGGCATTGGGGTTGATTTATAGGGAAATACTTCACTGTATGTAAAGTAGCGTGAAGGTGTAAGACTCAGAATGGTCCTTTTCACAGGGCTTTTCCAGTTGCATTCTAAGTTGCTGTGGTAAAAAAAAGCTGTAGAATGGTTTTTATTATAGGTATAAATTACTTCCAAAATGATAGAATCTGACTATTTATTGCTTTAAACTTAGTAAAGTAAGTAGTTGTCCTACTCTTTCAAGTATATTTAATATTCCAGTCGCATCACATAACTGCCTTGGCAGCTGTTTTGAGTTAGAGAATTTTTTTCAGTCACCACCATGTTGTGTTGTTATTACTTCGTAATTTTACTTTACTTTTTTTACGATGCTCATCAGCCACTGAACCGCAAATGGAAGTAGACGAGTATATGAACTATCTCCTTTACTCAAAGGGACCTGCAGTGGATTTTATAACTGTTCCATTTTTTGCAGTAGCTATCAGAGAGTTTATACAGCAAAGCTGTGTCAACATTTCTATTTCAGTTCCTGGGTTTTTTTAAGGCCAATGGAAACTTGATGGGTTCAGTTCACAGAAGCAAGGGTAACATAATAAAAAACCAGTAAATATGTCATTTAATCATTGAGATGAAAATAAAGATAAAGTTAACATATTTAATTTTCTTATCTTGAGTCCTGCTTGCAGGGGGAAAAAAAGTGTTTAGATGTTCTGAAGAAAAACTTGGAGCTATTACTTAAGAAAACTTGTGTTGAAATTTTGCCTAAACAAAGACTTCAGGACTTAGCTTTGTAATTGCTTTTCCTCATAGTAGTTACAAAGACACTGCCTGTAGTAGCCATTACAGAATGCCAACTGTGTCTTTTAAATAATTGAAATTAGGTGACCGCAGTGCACTGAATAGGATTCCATTTATTTTAAAAGCTTTGTTGGTCTACAGTTAGCACAATTTATTTTATTTTAAAAATTCCCTTTGGCTGCAGTCTGGTCCTCAGCTGCCTACTCGTATCAGTATAGCTTGCATGCTGGCAATTCAACGACTGGTTGGTAGGTGTGGATTTTCACTGGAAGTTATTTAAAATATTTTTCTTCCATTTTTAATACTTCAGGTGTTTTTGCTTCCAAAACAAGATAAAATTATAGAAGTTGTTGTTAATGAGTAGAAGCTTTTTTGTTTGTTTTACAGATGCATGCTGCTTTGATTACTTCATCTTATAATCGATTTAGGGTGATGTACTTTAAAGAAATGTAAAGGAATTCTTTAAGGAGTGCAACTAGCACATATTCATGAGTATCATAAACATGCAATGAGCATCAGCCTGTTTTAGCTGTGCCAGGAAAATATAGCTTACGGTTAGTAGGTTTTTAACTCAGAAATATAATATTTAGAAGACTTTGTTTTGTATCATGGAAAACAGTTGATTGTTAAGAGATGTTTTGTAGACTAAAATTGATCATACTGGTTTCCACAGTACAGTCCTTCCCTGTTTATTAACTTCAGTACTACTCTGTGTGTTGTTTGACTACAGAGAGGCAGTTGCTGCTGGTAGCACCGAGTAACATGAATTTACAGTTTCTGGGTTATTTTGTGGTGGTCGTGTTTTTCCGGATATGAATAGTATTTTTATTAACAGTGACCACTAGTTTGAATAACCTAGCTCATGCTTTCTCTGCAAGATTGCCATCTTTTTGCTTTGAATGCTGGCGCAAACACAAGTTGTTAACACCAAGAAGCAAACTGAATTACTCAAATTCTTGATCTCTGTCCATTTTACAGGATGTTATTGTTCACTTTATTGGCAGAAATACAAAGAAGTGGATGACAAGCTTGAAAATATTGATTAAAAGAGTATGTTAAGATGATTGTTGTTGATAAACAGTGAAATGTGTAATTTATATACTTCATTAAGTTAATATATAGTGCTAGATTTAGAGCACTGAGAACTTCAAAGATACCGGTCAAAAAGGAATTGCTTTGTACAGGTGTCTATTTTATGTCATTCTGAACACTTGATGAAAAATAGAAATTTAGGATGCTATTATTTAAATATTCCCCTTGAAAACATTAACAATTTTCCACAGAACTATCTTTCCCT